AAAAAGAGGAGTTGATTGAGTTTTGGATTGAGGAGGGATTTATAATAGATGAAAGGGGGTCTCGGCACTTAATGATTTGTGAGGGCCATTCTATTATTCAGAAGTTGATAGACAATTGCATGTTGGAATTGGTTAAAAATAAAAACCAATCATATTGCATCAGACGGCCTGGATTCTCTAGATTCAAAAACAAAGAAGATTGGGTGAGTATGCATGATCTTCTCCGAGAAATGGCATTGAAGATTATTCATCCTCAATTCATGGTGAAAGCTGGCATGGCCTTGGAAGAGCTACCAGAGGAGGTTGAAGGGAGAAAAAATCTTTTGAAGGTTTCTCTAATGAAGAATCAAATAAGTGAATTTCCTTCAAGTATGTTGTCTCCCAAGTGTCCAATGCTCACAACCTTGTTGTTGTCCAAAAACAATATTACAACAATTCCAGAAGCCTTCTTTGATCATATGCCTGGGCTGAAGATCCTTGATCTTTCTGGCAATCACAAGCTACATAGGCTGCCGAGTTCTGTTTCTAAATTAGAGAGCCTTACGACACTACTGTTGGAGAATTGTAAGTCCTTAGAAGAGGTACCATTTTTATCCAACCTTGGAGGCTTAAAAAAGTTAAACCTTTATGGGACATCAATTAAAGAACTACCCCAAGGTCTCAACATGTTAACCAATCTAAAATATCTTTGGCTTGGTAGAAAGTTATCTGATATACCTGATGGATTGCTACGAAATCTCTCCAAACTTCAGTGTTTAAGAGTAGATGGGACTATACCGTTGAAATGGGTGGAGATTGGAAGATTGAGTAAGTTGGAATCTCTTGATATCCGGTTGTCTACGCTGGATGATATGAGGCTCTTTGTTAAGTCTGAAAGAAAGTTTTTAAATCAATACAGAATTTCTGTTAGAAGCTGCAGTCGACATGATGGTTGTTACTTTGAGGACGAAATCTTTTCAGATGTTATGAAATCAATTGTATGCTATTGTATTGATATATGTGAGGAGCCTAACTGGTTACCATCTGATGCACAAGGCTTCTACATCTTAAACTGCAACTGCAAGGATGTGAGAAGCTTGGACAACATTTCTGGCTTTCAAGAAGCAACCGACTTGCGGCACTGCATCGTTGATCAATGTGATGGCTTGGAGTTTGTTGTTTCCTCTCGCTGCTTAAACCCGCTCCAAAACCTTGAGTGGCTATACCTTTATGGTCTGAAAAAATTGAATGCAGTGGTTGGGGCAGTAGAAGCAGTTGCCAAGTCAGCACCGCTGCCAGCTGGCACTTTTTCTTCTCTTCAAAAAATTGAAGTTGAGCGATGTGGAAAAATAAAGAAGTTATTGCCGCTTAGGTTGTTGCCGTATCTCCAGAATCTACAGAGAATTGAGGTTAACGGTTGTGCTCAAATGGAGGAGATAATATGGTCCGAATATGAAGAAGGAGAAAAAGCCCTAGAAAAACTCACTCTACCAAAGTTAGAAAGGTTGGGATTGGCCATGTTACCCGCATTGAAGAGCATCTACAGTGGCTCTACTACTGTCTTGATCTGTGATTCCCTCAAAGACATTCAAATTCAGTCGTGCCAAGAAATAGAGAGTGTTTTTTGGACGGGGTTTAACCCACTTCCAACCCTTGAGAATCTAGAGCTTCTGCACTTAAAGAATCTGAAATCCGTGTTTGATGAAGAAGTTCTTGGTTCACCATCGGCTCGTCCCACCAACTTTTTCTCTCTTAAAAAAATTGATGTGTGGGATTGCCCTAAATTAAAGAAAGTATTTTGGACGGGGTTTAACCCACTTCCAACCCTTGAGCGTCTAGAGCTTCGGTGGTTAAATAATCTGAAATCCGTGTTTGATGAAGAAGTTCTTGGTTTATCAACCTGTCCCACCAACTTTTTCTCTCTTAAAAGAATTGGTGTGTCTGAATGCCCTAAATTAAAGAAAGTATTCTCATCTGGATTGCTGCTTGGCTACTTCCAATCTCTAGAGACTATTGATGTTTATGGCTGTTACCAAATGGAGGAGCTGATATCATCATCGACCTATGAAGAAAAAGAAGCCCTAGAAAAAATCACTCTACCCAAGCTCCAAAGGTTAGAATTATCTCGATTGTCCGAATTGAAGAGCATCTGTAGCAGTTCCACTGTGTTGATTTGTGATTCCATCAAGAGTCTGGAGATTAGAAACTGTGAGAAGCTAAAGAGGATTCCTCTGCATCTTTCCTCGCTCGACAATGGCCAGCCTCCTTCCCTCAAACAAATTCAAATAGACACAAAAGAACGCTGGGAATCATTGGAATGGGACCAATCCAATGCAAAGGATGCCCTTCTACCTTCTGTAAATTTTCATGATGACAGCAACTCTGACTTTGAAGAAGAAGATGAAGTGTCTGGTGACGACAACGATGATGATGATGATGAAGAAGAAGAAAAAATGTCTGATGACGACAACAATGATGATGAAGAAGAAGAATCTCTTAGGATGGGCTAAGAAGCAAAGGAGTGCAGGCTCTTTGGTGATTGGGCAGTGCAAATGTAAGCCTTTTTAGCTTCAAGTTTCCATTTCTAATTATGATTCAACTCAGTAGGAGTTTTCACTTTTTATGCTTTCCTTCTTCCTTTCTATCTCAACAAATCTCTCTCTCTCACTCTTGTCTTTTCTTTTTAATATCTGTTGTTTCTTCTCCCCATTGGCAGCAAAGCTGGAGCTGGACTCTGTTACCACAAGAAAGCTGGAGGAAATCACATTTGCTTCCACCTGTTATTGTTGTTGGGTTTTCAATCTAATATAGATACGCTTGCTGTTTTCTGTTTTTCTTTTCTTCTTCTTCCCTTTTTTTTTTTTGTGCTATGCGTTTAAATATGTTCATATTCTAAGTGGAACTGTTTGTTTCTTATCTGTGTAATTTTGTCTTTTAAACCTGTGTAAGGATCTATCTTATTTCCTTTGGTATTTCTTTTGTTGCATCTGCATCTTTGCTTTTCTTGTAATAAGCATTTTTGACTGAAATCGTGAGATATTGCTATTTATCTGTCTTGAACCTTATTAGTGATAGTATAATACTACAAAATAGTCTTTTGATTCATATTTTTTTTAATTGAACTTATGGCTAAACTTCATCAATGATCATGCCTGTTTGAAAAGAAAATTGTAATGGCCATCCTTGGATATAGGCATGTGTGTTACTTTAATTTGTGGGCAGGCTGATGTTTGTGCCATTGGTGCTGTGTTAGAAAAGCATGCTGGTGATGAAAAGCTACTGGATTGCTATTAATTAACACAACTCAAACAGGTATTTGTTTGCTCTCTCTTTTTATTGGAGCAAAATTCCTATCACAATAGCTTTGTTTGAATATTTATTTTGATCTTCAGTCACTTTTTAGAGCAGAGCAGAATTTCCTATGATGTGCAAATGATGTGGGAAAGAATAGTTCTTATGAGCTTGTTCCTTTCTAAACAAGCATATTTATATTGGTGAAGACACAACATATACCAGGCACATGGTAAGACCTGCTTGCTTTGAAATCACCTTTAATGAACAAAATCAATAATCCCTATTTAGATTTTGGATCTGTACAGAGTCGATGATGTAATAATCATAAACAAATGGCAGCACGGTGCCATAGTGTTACAATGTCATTCTTAGTTCTTACCCTTTGAAAAGTAGCTGAGGTATATATATTCTAATTAGCATGCCATTTTCCTATTGTCTTCTTTAAACTGAATTTTGTCTAACTAATTTTTGTCTGGTACATCTGTCAAGCAAGCCAGAGTTTATCTTCTTGACATCATGCATTTTGACGATGCATCTGGACTGAAGTGGAAAAGGAAATGCTAGCTCTGGGCAGCAGATTACAAGTATTTACTTCGTAAAGCTAATAATCCTTAATGTGAATAAATTTCTTAATTCTATCCTTACTTTTCGAAACTCAAAACATAATTTAATTTTGTGCTTTACTTTTGGTGTTAACCTCTGCAGGTGCCTTAGAGCAGAAGTATGGTGCCTCTACTTTCAGTGGAGGAAGTGGAGAACATGGATTGAGGGATCTAGTTTGGCACTCCATGTTTGAGAAGGATAAGAGAAAACATATTTAGGGTGTTAACTCCTCAGATGTTCTCCAGGTCAATCCATCTCCTTTTATTGTCTAAGGACTCAACAGAAGTTGCATTCAATGTTTTTCCTTCTGCCCTCGTCCTTTAATACACCAGTTGGGAATTTAGTGCTACCATCTGGGAAAAATAGGATGGTATATCATTTCTGCTATTTATCTGCAGGAAGTGTCAAACATTTTTCTATTTCGTAAGTCCTTATCAGTTTTGGTTTCTTTATTTTACTATGTTTAATGCAAAGCTTTTGTTGTCCTTCAAATGTGAAGAGGATTGAAAAGAATTCTTTTGTCAATCCATTCTTTATTTATATTTCTTTTTATAGGTTTTGGATGCTACATGTTAGGGACCCACAAGGTACAAGATGGCTTCATCTAGAGAAGCATTTGAAAGAAAACTGCAAGCATAAACACATGATTCTTCTGTTAAACAAGTTCAGTCTCATTTTCTAGCTGTATTTATAAGGCTGCGACTGCTTGTGAACACTTGTAGTTCCCCCTTTTCACTATGAGATTGTTTACGCTTGGGCTGCAAAGGGATGGCTTAGAATATTATCAAAGCATTTCATGCTTGCATCAATAGGTCTTTTTGCAAGGTAAGTAATACATTTCACTCACTCACTCTCTCTCTCTCTCTCATACGCGCACACACATACACAAATGCTGGAGAAGCTACCCTTTTTTCAGTTTAAGGCAAATGTTGAAGGAAAACCTTAATCTACCTAGAAAAATGTTCTATGCAAAGTACTTTGTATATTTTCTGCATTTTTAGCTACTAACTTGTATTGACTCAACATTATCATTTGTCTTTTCTTTTCTTGTTGCACACGAGGTTCTCTGTTCTCAGCTTTGACACAATTTGCCTTCTTAACAAGTGACGACCAAGCAATAACTGTGGGATTTGTTGGGTATCCTAATGATGGAAAGTCTTTCATTATTAACACAGGTCCTAAAAATGTAATGTGCTGCCTCTTTATGGCTTCTTCTGTTGCATTATTCATGAAAATTTGTGTTTCTATGCCCTTGAATGTTGAAGAGATAAATGTGCCCATCACTATGTTCCAAACTCTATCTAACATGTTTATTAACTCCTATCTAAAATCTGATTTCTCTGGATGCTTTTAAGTATAGCACCATATCTGTTTGTCAACATTGTAGCCAAATGAATATCTTGCAACTGTTTGATTTTTTAACTATTGTTATATTTTAGGTGGTATCTATCTACTTCGTTTATGAGGTCAGTGGTTCAGCTAATATAATTGTTTGCTTTTCTAAAAGGTTTGCAAAGTTGCTCGATTCCTGGGTAGACAAAGTTTTGGCAGTACATAACACTCACAAAAAGGATCTCGATTGACTGCCCTGGAGTTGTTTACCAGAACAGTGACTCTGAAACAAATATTGTACTGAAGGGTATGCCATGTTCGATCAGCTAATTGCCTGCACTTTCTTCTGCCCTTCACAATAGTGACTAGTGAGGCAATGGTATGTTTAACTTATTGTTGTTTCTCAAAGCAACTACAGCAAGAATTGAGTACCTAGTTCGCTGGAGAAAAGGAAATCCTGTGGAATTTCTAGTGATAATTTATATATAAACAAACCTAAAGAAAGCTTTCTATTGCCATAGCCTTAAGAGAGCTGAAAAATTAAGGATCTTTTGTGTATCATACTACATAATATTTAGCATTATCAGTTCCAATGTGTACAATAAATACTAAAATGCCTGCAAGAGTTAATATTTCATGTGAGAATATATATTAGAACATCATCTAAGTTAATGCTTGCGCATCCACTACTTTAAACTCTTAGAACTATTCAAATAATTACAAATGTTGTTATAACCTGTGTGCACAAATGTTAAAGCATTCATTTTACAAATTCAACATTTCTATCTTTAGTTTGGTTTTCCAAACATGGACATGTGAGAAATATTATCCGCCTAGACCAAAACTTAACTTTGACTTGTTCAAAGGACAAACAAGGTGAATGACAGTTAGTAACAACTGTATATTCTACCAGTCTATCAATCTACTAGGTATTTGAATGTAGATTATTTTGCCTTACTTGGATCCCCATCTGTGTTGCCTTTTCAATTGTAAATTATTACTGAAGTATATGCTTCTATGAATGGTCAATCTCTAGGGTGGTGAACCAGAGATGATGATTGCAACAAAGATGGTCCTCCATGACTGGCAAATGAAAGATGCAGATTGCTCTTTCTTGTTCCTCCCTCATCAATGGGAGGATGGCTTGTTAGAATCACATACTATGCATGGAATAGATAAAGAGATGGTGGCTAATGATAGTCAAGCGTACCTGCAGCATCACGTGAAGCCATCACAAATGTAATCTCATCCCAGTAGCAAAGAAGTTTACCAGTACAAAGGGATCTCTATTCTCTTTAGTGAGAAAGAACTAAATGATGAGACAGCCAACGAAGTCCCTAAATGATGATGAAACTGGAGATCAAAAAAGGCTAATGAGAGGGAGATGCCAAGTTCCAGCAACTGGGCTAGACGTAAGCTTGGAAGAAAACATGGCTCTCTTTTTGTAGTTAGGAATTATTGTTTTCACATCCAGCATATTTTTGTTCTTCCAAGATGATGAGTTCTAGTTATTTATTATGTAAAATTATCCCTGAATATTCTAGGATTTGATCCATGGAGGCATGGAGTGACAGTTAGTAGGATACACATGGAAAGATGAATCAACATTCAGAAACAGGGTGGCCCAAGTAATGAAAAAAATCATTCAAGTTTTTCCCATGATGGTTGAGCTGTTCTCATCATCACTTGGCACTTCTAATCATCTCAGTCAAATCAAGTAACTGCTTTGGTCCAATGAAACAATGGAATGCACCTATGAAATGAAATGAAGTGTGTATTTTTTGTTCTCATCATTCTAGCACAAATTAGACCAGCTCCATTATGAAACTGATTGAAAATTTTTGTGACTTCCAGATAGTGTCACGTGGTTATTTTCTAGCAAGATTATTCTTTTTTTTTTTCAAGAAATAATACATTTGATCCATTCATAATTTCATAACCCTTATATAGGGGTTAGATAATAGATTTGGTACTAAAATACTATGTATGATATAATTATTAAAAAATTATTGACCAAATATATATTTACTCATTAGTATTATCTATTATATGATTTCTATGCGTTTATCAACATTATAGCCAAAAAAATATCCTACAATTGTATGATAGATCCAAATCAACCTCTTCCTTGACATTATAGATTGGTACCGAAGCCAGCGGCAAAGATGGAAATGCTTTTGTTTTCTTGACCAAGAGTAGGAGTGTTGTATTAGTCAATTGATGCAGTGATATTATATACCAATTTCTTTGTCACTTGAAAGATATGCAACATACATCCTTTTGGTTAAATGATAGTGTTTTAAATCATTTATTATTATTTTAGAGTAGTTTGGTTGATTATATTTTGTATTTCACTTTCTTAATAAATTAACATTTTATTTTTTAATCGGCTTAAATTTCTTTTAGATTAAAGTTTTAATATATTTTAGTTCTACTTTTTATCTTGTAAATTTATATCCTATTTTCTTTATCTTATCACCATTCATTGGACCAACATCTACCTTTTTTAAATTATCAAACCTACACATATTTGTTGCTGTTAATGTTCTACCATTTTAAATTAATAGTGTATGCTGCATAATATCCTTGGTTAATTAACATTTTGCAACAAGTTTATGCGTTAGAATCAAATCTTGTAATAGATTTTTATTTTTAGATTTTTTCAAATTTTTATTCTCTTGGTTGGAAGAAAAGCAAATTGATCTGATTACATAATTCATCCTATGTTGGAATTTATTAGACTTCCTTCTCGTTTAATATTTTGGCCATCCAGTAGACTTTCTTTTCAATCATACAAAAGCAATAGCAATTAGCAATACATTATCTTCTCCAAATGAGAAAGAGATTGAATTAGAAAATAGGAGCAAAAAAAAAAGAAAAAGGAGAAAAGAAAGGGAACCCTGAATATAGAAGAAATGGACCCTTATTAAGCCAAAGTTTAATATCTCACTGCTTCTAGTCTTGGTAATGTAGAAAATAGAACCTAAATCAACGACAAAAATTGGCGAAATTATTCAATGTAGAACAAGCTCTCTAGCTTCTGCTCTCATTTCCTTGGTTCTCTTTTCATTTTCTTGCAACAAAATGATTGCACTAATTTCCTCTAAAAAAAAAAAAAAAAGAATAAGATTGCACCAAATGCGCTTTGTCTGTAGTGTCATCACATGTGCCCTCCAGATTGCATCTTTGCTTGAAGGCTTGTCTATTCTCTTCGTCAAGAGTATAAGATAAAAAATTATTATTAAGTGATGATTATAATTTTTA